GGGGGTGCCGGGAGGGCGGCGGGCGGGCCCGGGCGAGCCCCGCGCTGCGGCCGGAGCTCACCTGCACATGATCCGCCATCTTGCCCCATTCATGCTCCGCTCGCGCCTCCGCCCCCGCCTGCGCCGGGCCCGGCGCCACCGCGTCCCCCCGCGCCGCCGCCCGCACCGCGCATGCGCCGCGCCGAGACCCCGCCCCTCCCGCGCCTGCGCGCGCCGAGGGGGACACGCCCACCGCGGGGTAAACCGCGCCCACAAGGCGGAAGCCGCGCCCTTCCTGCGCGCCCGCCGGGTTAGGCCGCGCCCATCTCGGTGAGACCACGCCCCCGTGCTCGTGCGGGGCCTGCGCGCGGCGGCGGGACACGCCCACAGCGGCATGGCCGCGCCCACCGTGCGCGCGCGGCGCTCTGCGTCTGACGTCACGGCGGAGGCGCGGCACGGGGGGAGGAGGGAGGGGCGCGAGCCGGGTTTGTTGACACGGCCTTAAAGGGACCGCGCACCCCGGGAACAGCGGGGACAGCGCGGGGACAGCGGGGACAGCACTGTGAGCACTGGCACCAGCACGCCCAGTGCCACTGGTGCCTCCGATGTCTCCAGTGTGAACACTGATGCCAGTATAACCAGTGCCACCGGTGTCACCAGTGTGACCTAACACACCAGTATGACCAGTGCCCCCAGTATGACCAGTGCCACCAGTGCCAGCAGTGCCCTGCTGCCACCACCCTGCGCCCAGTGCTCCCAGTGCCCCCAGTGTGCTGCCCAGTGCTCAGTGTCCTCCACCTGTGCCCAGTGCACATCAGCACCACAGGGTGGCACAGGGATGTGTCCCCAGTGCCACACCCTTGTGTCCCCAGTGCCACACCCAGCCCCCTGCGCCCAGTGCTCCCAGTGCCCCCAGTGTGCTGCCCAGTGCTCAGTGTCCTCCACCTGTGCCCAGTGCACATCAGCACCACAGGGTGGCACAGGGATGTGTCCCCAGTGCCACACCCTTGTGTCCCCAGTGCCACACCCACCGTGCCACACCCATGTGTCCCCAGTGCCACACCCACGTGTCCCCAGTGCCACACCCACAGTGCCACACCCATGTGTCGCCAGTGCCACACCCACAGTGCCACACCCATGTGTCCCCAGTGCCACACCCACCGTGCCACACCCATGTGTCCCCGGTGCCACACCCAGATGTCTGGCAGTGCCACACCGACAGCGCCATGCCCACCTGTCCGCCATGCCCACCCAGATGTCCGGCTGTGCCACACCCCGTGTCCCCAGTGTCACACCCACGTGTCTGTTGTGCCACACCCCGTGTCCCCAGCGCCACCCACGTGTCCCCGTGGGGACCCACAGGAAGTCGCAGTGCGCAGGAAGCGGCAGAGCCCGGCTGAGCGCGGCACGGGCTGAGCCCGCCCCGGTGACACCGCGGGGGGACACGGCCCTGGGACCCCGGGACCCCCGGGACACTGCGGGCACTGTGGGCACTCAGGACACAGCGGGCACTCCAGACACTTGGGACACTTGGGGACACTCAGCACACTGCGGACACTGCGGACACTTGGGACTCTCTGGACACTTCGGACACTCAGGAAACTTCAGACACGCCGGACACTGCGGACACACCGGACACTCAGGACACTCGGGACACTCCAGAGACTTGGGGACACTCAGCACACTGCGGACACTGCGGACACTTGGGACTCTCTGGACACTCCGGACATTCAGGAAACTCCAGACACACCGGACACTCAGGACACTCGGGACACTCCAGAGACTTGGGGACACTCAGCACACTGCGGACACTGCGGACACTTGGGACTCTCTGGACACTTCGGACACTCAGGAAACTTCAGACACGCCGGACACTGCGGACACACCGGACACTCAGGACACTCGGGACACTCCAGAGACTTGGGGACACTCAGCACACTGCGGACACTGCGGACACTTGGGACTCTCTGGACACTCCGGACATTCAGGAAACTCCAGACACACCGGACACTCAGGACACTCGGGACACTCCAGAGACTTGGGGACACTCAGCACACTGCGGACACTGCGGACACTTGGGACTCTCTGGACACTCCGGACATTCAGGAAACTCCAGACACACCGGACACTCAGGACACTCGGGACACTCCAGAGACTTGGGGACACTCAGCACACTGCGGACACTGCGGACACTTGGGACTCTCTGGACACTCCGGACATTCAGGAAACTCCAGACACACCGGACACTCAGGACACTCGGGACCAAAGCTGCATTTGGGGACAGTGACAGCTGCAGGCCCCAAAGCCACACTGGGGACAGTGATGGCTGCAGGCCCCAAAGCCACACTGGGGACAGTGACGGCTGCAGGCCCCAAAGCTGCATTTGGGGACAGTGACAGCTGCAGGCCCCAAAGCCACACTGGGGACAGTGGCGGCTGCAAGCCCCAAAGCCACACTGGGGACAGTGACGGCTTCAGGCCCCAAAGCTGCGTTTGGGGACAGTGACGGCAGCAGGCCCCAAAGCCGTGTTTGGGGACAGTGATGGTTGCAGGTCCCAAAGCTGTGTTTGGGGACAGTGATGGCTGTAGGTCCCAAAGCTGCATTTGGGGACAGTGACGGCTGCAGGCCCCAAAGCTGCGTGGCTTCCGCTGCCGATAAAGGCTGAGGTTGGGCAATGGCTGCGAGGGGGAAGGAGCTGAGGGAAGGAGCTGAGGGAAGGAGCTGAGGGGCCCCTCCTGCCCTTCTCCCTTCTCTTCCTCCCCACAGATCCCATCCCCAGCGGATCCACAAGCGATCCCAAAAGGATCCAAGGGCAGGGATCCCAAAACCTCATCCCAGGAAAAGGGAGCTGCAGGCCCCGGAGCCTCTGGGAGGGATGTGCTAGTTTTGGGGCTACTTTCCCTGCCCCCACTTCCCCTCTGCCCTGGGGCCTCCCACGCTCCCCAAGCCCGGAACTGCTGCTGCTTTTGGGGCAGAGCCAGAGAGATGAAAATGTGGGGTTTTTAGGGAAAATGGGAGGAAGAAGGAGCTGGAAGTTGTTCACGGCTTGTGGGGGAATGGGGTGGGTGAGGCTGGGGGGGGAAAGGCCTTGCTGCATGTCAGGGGTGATTTAAATCCCAATTTATGTGACCCCCACCTTCAGCCAGACCCTGCAGGGCTTTGCACCCCTGTCCTGCTTTAGGTGATCCTAAGCATGATCCCAAGGGGATAAAAACTCCTGGGAAGGTAAGAACTCCTGGAAGGTAAAAATTCCTGGAGAGGTAAAAACCCCTGAGAAGGTAAAAACCCTCCTGGAAGGTAAAAACCGCAGGGAAGGTAAAAATTCCTGGAGAGGTAAAAACCCCATGGAAGGTAAAAAACCCTGGGAGGGTAAAAATTCCTGGGAAGGTAAAAACTCATGGGAAGGTAAAAACCTCAGGAAAGTTAAAAGCCCTGGGAAGGTAAAAACCCCAGGGAAGGTAGAACCCTTTTGGGAAGGCAGACGCCCTGGTTGTCCCCCCGGCAGAAGTGGAAGAAGTTCTGGGCCGTGCTGTACCGGGAGAGCTCCTGCTCCACGGCGCGCCTGGAGCTGCTGGAGGGCCCCGAGCGGCCGCGCAAGGCCGAGGGCAGCCGGCGCCTGGTCCGGCTCAGCGACTGTGTCCACGTGGCCGAGGTGGGTGGCGATGCCACCTGTCCCAAGGACACCGTCCCCTTCCTGCTGGAGACCACAGAGCGGCGCTTCCTGCTGGCTGCCGATGGCGCCGAGGCGGCCGAATGGATCCAGCAGCTGTGCGAGCTGGCATTCCCGGTATGCGCCTGGATAGCGGCTGGGAAAGGTGGGATCCACCGGGGTGGGTGGGATCCACCAGGATGGATGGGATGCACTGGGGTGGGTGGGACCCACTGGGATGGATGGGATGCACTGAGTTGGATGGGATCTGCTAGGATGGATGGGATCCAGTGGGATGGATGGGATCTACTGAGTTGGATGGGATCCGCTTGGATGGCTGGGATCTACCAGGATGAATGAGATGCACTGGGATCTGCCAGACTGGAAGGGACGCACCGGGATGGATGGGATCCACTGGGGTGGATGGAATCTGCTGGGATATGTGGGATGCACCAGGAATGGATGGGATCCACTGAGTTAGGTGGGATCCACTGAGTTGGATGGGATCCACCAGGTTGGATGGGATCCACCGAGATGGGTGGGATCCCCTGGGATGGGTGGGATCTCCTGGGATGGATGGGATCCACCGGGATGGATGGGATCCACCGGGACAGATAGGATCCACTGAGATGGATGGGATCCACCGGGACAGATAGGATCCACTGAGATGGATGGGATCCACTGGGGTGGATGGGATCCGCCAGGCTGGATGTGATCTGCTGGGATAGATGGGATCCACTGGGATGGATGGGATCTGCTAGAATGGATGGGATGCACAGGGATGGATGGGATCCACTGGGATGGATGGCAGCCCTCACCTGCTACTCTTCCCCCGGGGCAGAGGAGCCGGGAGGAGCCAGGAGCGGCCAAGGAGGGCACCGAGGGCGAGTTCTCCATGGAGGAAAATTCCCTGTACAGCTCGCGGGGCAAAGGTGGGAGCAGGGCTGGGGCTGTGCGGGGTGGGGAAATCTCCTCCCCAAAAGCCTCTTCCTGTTTGTGGGGCCGGCTCAGCTGCGCTATCAGCAGTGGTCATCCTGTCCTGCTCTTATCGGCCGGACACTGCTGGCCTGGCTGGAGGGGTCATCCACGGCCCTTCTGCAGGGTGGGACATGTGCCCAATGCTGTGTCCACCCCAGCTGGCTGGAGCAGGCTGTCCTGGCTTGGGGGTCACTCACAGCCCCTCTGTAGGGTGGGACATGTGTCCAGTGTCCACCATGTCCATCCCAGCTGACCTGGAGCAGGCTGTTCTGGCTTGGGGGTCACTCACAGCCCCTCTGTGGGGTGGGACATGTGTCCAGTGTCCACCATGTCCACCCCAGCTGGTCTGGACCCATCTGTCTTGGCTTGGGGGTCACACTGCAGGGTGGGACACATGTCCAGCACCAGCTGTGTCCCGGGCTCTGGCCTGGGGGGGGTCACTCACAGCCCCTCTGCGGTGTGGGACCTGTGTCCAATGCTGTGTCCATCCCCAGCTGGCCTGGAGCAGGCGTTTGAGGTGACAGTGAGGGTGACACCATCATCACAGCGCTGCCGGCTCCGGGGCCGCTGCATCCTGCGGGCGGGCAAGGAGGCGCTGGAGCTGTGGCACCCTCAGAGCCAGGAGCTGCTGGCCAGCTGGCCCTACCGCTTCCTGCGCCGCTTCGGCCGCGACAAGGTCAGTGCGCAGCGGCGAGGCCGGGCCGGACGCGACTGGGACCTGGCACTGACCCCTGCCCTCCGCAGGTGACCTTCTCCTTCGAGGCCGGCCGGCGCTGTGCGTCTGGAGAGGGCAACTTCGAGTTCGACACCAGGCAGGGCAACGAGATCTTCCAGGCCATCGAGGCGGCCATCGAGGTCCAGCGGGGCCGCGGCGCCGAGGAGCCGTGCCGGGGGGGCCCCGCGGACGAAGCCCCGCGGCCGCTTGAGCACGCCAGGACGCCCGGCCGGGCACAGGGCCACGAGGAGCCCAAGTGCCCCCTCAAAGGGGAGGGGAAAGGGGCCAAGGGCAGGCCGGTGATGCCCCCCGGGGCTGGGGAGGCCTCGGGGCCGTTCCAGCTGTCACGGGGTGCGGATTGTCCCTACGCCGAGCCCCACGACTCCCTGCGCCGCGGGAATGCGGCCGCGCCGCCCGACAAGGGCCGGAGGCCGGACGGTGCCAGGGTGGAGTCCGAGTACGCCGTCCCCTTCGACACCATCGCCAAGTCCTTCCTGGTGCGCCAGTTCGGTGGCCTGGGCTGTCCCCAGGAGGGGTTCCCCGAGCCGCCGAGTGTCCCCAGGGATGCAGGGGTTGCTCAGCAGCCCCCCGGCCGCCCCACGGCCCCCAAACCCGAGCACATCTACGACGAGCCCGAGGGTCTCTCGGGCCTCTCGCTGTACGACGAGCCCGAGGAGGTGAAGGGGGAGGCCTGGAGGCTGCAGGCGGCCCCCGAGGAGCCCCCCGGGCTCGGGTGTCCCTACAACGCCCAGCGCGACGACTACGCCGTCCCCAAGAGGCCCTTCCTGCTGCAGGGCAAGGAGTGGCTGGGCGACTGCGACTACGACAACGTGGCCCTCAAGGTGGCCAAGAAGAGGAACCTGCAGTGAGCGGCAGCGGGGGAGAGGAGCAGGGGACGCCCCAAATCCCCCAGCAGGACTTTACCCCACCCCAGCTGAGACCCCCAGAGCTCAGCGCACCCGGGGCTGGGGAGGGGGCACAGCTGGGGGGTGGCAGGGGACAGCCGGGGGTGGCAGGGGACAGCCGGGAGGTGGCAGGGGACAGCTGGAAGCGCTGGATGCGCCCACTGGAGGGCAGTGCGAGCCCATAGGAGCGGCGGTGCCCGGGCAGCGGGATCCCCGCGGCCGCAGCCCCGGGACCCCAAAGCCCGCTCGAGCAGCGGCTCCGCCCCACTCATCCCCCGGGATGCACTTCCAGGGCGGCTGGAGCGGGAATGGCCTGGGGCGCTCAGCTGGGTGTGCTTCTTCAGGGATGGACATCCCAAATTCCTCTGGATGGACATCCCAAATCCCACAGGATGGACATCCCGAATCCCACAGGATGGACATCCCGAATCCCCAGGGATGGACATCCCGAATCCCCCAGGGATGGACATCCCGAATCCCCCAGGGATGGACATCCCGAATTCCACAGGACGGACATCCCAAATCCCCAGGGATGGACATCCCGAATCCCCCAGGGATGCAGATCCCACCCCATGGGATGGACAATGCACATTCCCAGGGATTCAGATCCCACCCCTGAGCCCTCCCGTGCCCACACAGAGCCCCCAGTGCTCCCAGGATGTTCCAGTGCCACAGCAGTGCCGGATCCTTCCCTGCCCAAAGGTCCCTCCCCGCCTTGCTCAGCAAACCCCCAAATTCCGGCTGTTTCATCCTCACTTTGGTTTTTAATTCTCTTTATAAACGCCCTTTCCAGCCCCTCTGAATTCCAGATGGAGAACTGGGCTTTATTTTCATGGAGATTTTCACAGCTGGCTCAAATCCTCCCACTACAAACCAGTACACAGCCATAGGGTCATCTTCCTTGATTTCCTTTCCCTTTCCCTTTCCCTCCTCATCTTCCTCCTCCTCCTCTTCCCAACCCCCTCCAGCCTTTCCTGGGGGACATCCAGCCCCTCAAGCAGACCCACCCCAATTCCCATGGGATTTCCCTGGACCCCTCAGTGCCCAGGACCCCCTCGGACCCCCCAGCCCCATCCCCACCCCAGAGCAACCTCGGGATCCCAGTTCCTCAGCATCCCATCAGCTTTTCCATGGGAAGCGGGGCCATTCCATGAATTATTTATAACCTCTCTCAATCAAAGGCGACACTCAGGTGCTGCAGTTCATTTCCTGGATCCCGCGAATCCAACGGGAGGGTTTTAATGAGGCAAATTAAGTGGTTTTGATAAGAGATGCTGATTAAAGCTCCGGCGCCATCGCTGCATCCCGGGTGGGGTTGGGGGCAATGGGATGCACAGGTGGGATCCTGCTCCAGGTGGGATCCTGCTCCAGGTGGGATCACACAGGGAAAAACACCTAAAAGTGCTCCAAAATAAAGGGAAAAGTCTCCAGCAGGGTTTTCCACATGGGATTAAGGAAAATCATGGAGTGAGGCAGAGCTGGAAGGGTTTAGGATGCACTGAGGAGGGGGAGATGCTTCCCATCATTTTCCAGCCCCATTCCTATGGAAAAATGGGATCATTCCCATGATGCCTGGCTGGTTCCCATCTCCAGAGCCAGGGAAATCCAGAATTCCTGAGCTGGAAAAATGGGATCATCCCTGTCCATGCCAGGCTGGTTCCCATCTCCAGAGCCGGGGAAATCCAGGAGAATTCCCTAGCTGGGAACTCCTGGCAGCTCAGGGCCATTCATCGGGAATCGATTGCTCGAGCACATGTTATTATTAATTAATTAACGCTCATTAGCGGGTTATTCATTATTAATTGGTGTTAACACAACCCTCCCTCCTCCCGCTCCATCCCTGCTCCTTCCAGTTTTCCTTCCTTAACCGAAGGAATGGAAACTCTGCCCAGACTTTGCTTCCCAATCCTGTGGGAAGCCAGGGAATGCAGGATAGCTGGGAATGGGGCTGTAAAAATGGGGAAACACTTCCCAAAATTCCCAGTCCTGGAGTTAACTTCCCCATTCTGTGGGAAGCCAGGGAATGCAGGATAGCTGCGAATGGAGCTGTAAGAACATGGAAACAATTCCCAAACTTCCCAATCCTGTGGGAAGCCAGGGAATGAGGGATCTCTGGAAATGGTGCTGTAAAAACATGGAAAAAATTCCCAAACTTCCCAGTCCTGTGGGATTTGCAGCGGGCAGCCAGGGACTGTTTGGAATGGCACCGATCAAGTTTTCGCAGGGACTGGGAGAAATTTTGGGAATTCTGGTGCTGGAATCTCATCCCCTGCCTGTCCCACCCACCTGGGTGGGGTTTAGAGTGGAAGATGGCACCTGGCCTGGAGAATTCCAACTGGAAAAACCCTTGGAAAGGCTCAGCAAGGGGCTGGGCTGGGGAAAAAAATCAATGGAAAAGGGGGAGGGAAGAGCTTAAAGCCCAAAGCTCCAGACAAATGGAGAGATTTAATCTGATTTGGGAGTTATTGTCCTGATGGAATTACGCTGATTATGAATCATTTAGGAGCAGGGATAATCAAAACACGGATTTGTTCCGAGCTCCAAGGGGCTCCCGAGCCTCTTCCCGGGGGTGGAGAGAGGCAGAGCTGCATCCCAGGATGGAGAAGGGCAAGGACCAGCATCCCAAGGGAAAACTGGGGAGATTTGGAGGGGAAAAGTGGGGGAAAAGGGGCCTGGAGATCTCTGGAATGGGAAAACTGGGGCTGGGAGCAGAGCAGGGATGAAAATGGGATGATCCCAAGGGAAAGCTGGGCTGGTGGGAGCAGAGCAAGGAAAGTGGGATAGAGCAGAGCAAGGACATGTCTGGGATGGAGAGGATGGGGAATGGACCAGGAATGCAGCCCTGGGGAGAAAACTGGGAGAATCTCAAAGGAAAGATGGGCTGGGAAGGCTGGAGGGGCAGAGAGAGGAATGAGAGAGTGGGAATCTCTGGGATGGAGAGGAAGGGGACAAAAGGATTGGGAACAGAGCAGGGATGCAGCCCTGTGGGAAAAACTGGGATAATCCCAAGGAAAAGATGGTCTGGAGGGGCAGAATGAGGATTGAGTGGTGTGGGAATCTCTGGGATGGAGAGGGAGGGGAACTAAGGATGGGGAAGTTGGCACAGAGCAGGGTGCAGCCCTGCGGAAAAAAACCAGGATGATCCCAGGGGAAACTGCTCTGGAAAGGGCTGGGATGGTCTGGGCATGGAAAGAGAGAGTGGGGGATCTCCAGGATGGAGAGGAAGGGAAATTTGGATTACCAGGGGTGGAGAAAAACAGGATGACCCCAAGGGAAAGCTGGGCTGGCAAGGCTCAGATGGTCTGGGCATGGAAAGAGAAAGGGGGGATCTCCAGGATGGTCAGGGTGGGAAATTTGGATTGGGAACAGACCAGGAATGGAGAAAACAAGGATGATCCCAAGGGAAAGTGCTCTGGAAAAAGCTCGGATGGTTTGGACATGGAAACAGGGGTGCGGGGATCTCCAGGATGGAGAGGAAGGGAAATTTGGATTGGGAACAGACCAGGGGTGGAGAAAACCAGGATGATCCCAGAGGAAACTGCTCTGGAAAAAGCTTGGATGGTCAGGGCATGGAAAGAGGAGAGCAGGGATCTCCAGGATGGGGAAAACAGGGAACAAACCTGCTGAAAAGCGGGATGGGGATGCTCCCCATGGCCTGGAGATGCCGCTCCCATTTTTCCTGTGGCTCCACACAGCTCCACACAGCTCGTTTTCCCATTAGTGTCTCCTCGGATTAGGGATGCGCTCGCTCTCCCGCTCCGGCCGAATCCCAGGCGCCAGCAGGAGCTGGAAACTGCATTAGGGCCGTGCCAAGGAGCCCCTGATGCCATTAGGGGCGAGCATTAGAGGTGCTAAGTGACAAGGAGCTCATCAGGCCGGGATTGATGGAAATCCCGTTCCCGGAGCCGGCAGGAGCAGGGCCCTTCATTCAGAAGAAATTGCTTAATTGGGAAGGTCTGGATTGTCTCCGCCTGTCTCGTTCCTGGAGCTCTGGAGCAGCTCGGGGTGTGGGATGAGTGGGAGTGAGGAGAAGGTGGAGGTGGCAAAGTGCAGGGAAAACTCCCAAATCCATCCATCCTGCTTTTCCTTGCCCTCTTGGCAGCTTGAGGATTCCCAGACTGGTCATTCCTGGGAATTCCAGCATTCCAGACCCGGGAAAAACCGGGTTGGTGGCTGCCCCGAGGGAGCTGGGCTCTTCCCTGCCCCGGGCTGCAGCAGAATTAATTGGCAATCGCCGGGAGTCCACAAAGCCGGGCTTTGTTGGGAAGGAAGCCGTAAAGCCGCGTGTCCGCAGCCGTAATTCCTTCATCCCACATTGATCCCGCGGCCTCTGCTGCCCACGGAGCGGCCGGGGGGACGGGCTGGGCATCGATCCCGGGCACCTCGGCCAGGCCCGAGCACCCTGACCCCTGCCCGGGCTGGGAGGGAATTCCCAGGATCATTCCAGCCTGGAGCAACCTCAACCCTGCTCTTTCCAGGAGTGAATTCCCAGGATCATTCCAGCCTGGAGCAACCTCAACCCTGCTCTTTCCAGCAGTGAATTCCCAGGCTCCTTCCAGCCTGGAGCAACCTCAACCCTGCTCTTTCCAGCAGTGAATTCCCAGGCTCCTTCCAGCCTGGAGCAACCTCAACCCTGCTCTTTCCAGCAGTGAATTCCCAGGCTCCTTCCAGCCTGGAGCAACCTCAACCCTGCTCTTTCCAGGAGTGAATTCCCAGGATCATTCCAGCCTGGAGCAACCTCAACCCTGCTCTTTCCAGCAGTGAATTCCCAGGCTCCTTCCAGCCTGGAGCAACCTCAACCCTGCTCTTTCCAGCAGTGAATTCCCAGGTTCCTTCCAGCCTGGAGCAACCTCAACCCTGCTCTTTCCAGGAGTGAATTCCCAGGATCATTCCAGCCTGGAGCAGCCTCAACCCCTGCTCCTTCCAGGAGTGAATTCCCAAGATCATTTCAGCCTGGAGCATCCCTGATCCCTGCTTGTGCTGGGATCAATTCCCAGTCTGATCCCAGCCTGGAGAATCCCTGATCCCTGCTCCTTCTGGGAGCAAATTCCCAGATTAATCCCAGCCTGGAGAATCCCTGATCCCAGCTCATTCTGGGTCCAAATTCCCAGTCTGATCCCAGCCTGGAGAATCCCTCACCCTGCTCATGCTGGGACTGAATTCCCCGATTCATCCCAGCCCTGTCTTCCCTCTCCCTCCCGCCCATACAAATACCTGGGAATATTTAAAATTCTGGCTTTTTTTTTGCAGCTGCTGCTGCAAGGGGAACATCCTGAATTCCACAGCACTGAATTCCCTGCTGGGGGATGCAGGGATGGAGGGGGAGTTTGGGGAGGATCTGTGTGAGATTGAGGGGTACAGGGGGGCATGGATGAGATCCTGGTGTGAGATCCCATGGGATGGGAGAGGAGAAGGGAAAGCCTGGATCAAAGGAGCAGCGGGATTTGCTGCTGGGGACACAAAGAGCTCGTTCCAAGGGTGTGGAAAAGCTTCTGGAAAGGCAATTTCCAGCTGGTTCTGGTCCAGGGAATCGCTGTTTTTATGGGATTTTGCTGCCAGGTCTGTGTTTTGTTCGGATTTCTGCAGCCTTGCTGGGCTGGGGGTTCATGGGAGCAGGGGAAGGGTCCTCACCTCACCCCCAAATCCCTCCAAATTCCAGCAGGGAATATTTGATGGAGGCTACAACTGTGTGAGGACAGCCCTGTCTGGAGCCTGGCAAAACACTGGAGTTCTTGGATCGTGCATCCAACTCCCCATTAATTAATTAATTATGAGAACCCCATTAAGAGAATCATCCAGACCCTAGTGATGAGGAGAAGATGGATCCATATCCCGAATTCCTGGCCCTGCTCCCCCATCTCGGGGCAGGACGTGTTTAAAAGCCTGGCTGGAATCCTGGGATTTTTCCAAGCCTTCATCTCTCCCAAGTCTCCATGGAAGTGGATGTTTCATGTGTTCCTTTGCCTCAATCTGCAGTGTTTGGACCAAAATAATGCTCCGTGCGCTTCCCAGAGCCGCTCTGCGGGCGGATTTTGTCAGGAAATATAAATATCCCAACACCCACCTGGCCAGGCTGAGGCTGCAGAGAGAGAATTCACAATTCCACCCTCGGCACCGCCGGGAATTCTGCAGCCTGGAGAGGCTCTGGATTCCCAGAGAAGTGTCCAGGGACAGGCTGGAGCCCTGGGACAGTGGAGGTGCCCCTGACCATGGCAGGGGTGGCACTGGATGGGATTTCGGGTTCTTCCATCCCAAATAATTCCAGGGTTTTGTTTTCCCATCACTCTGTGGGTGCTGCAGGAACAGCCCTGGATGCTGGGAACCTGTTGGGAAGGAGGGTCTGGAGGGAGAGGACACAGGGAATGGCTTCCACTGCCA